TCTTACTTTGGAGATTTAGCATTTTATTTTAGACTAAAAAGAAAAGTCTTACACTTCTCTTGATGATGCTGATAAAAGCTGGACATACTAAAAAGATTTCTACCTTTTGCTAAGTTACTTTCACTTCCGCTTGAGTCACTATTCTGTTAAACTCTACGGAAAGTCTTAAACTGAGTGTGGCTGAAAACTACTGTCCGCTGCTGAGTAATAATAATAAGCGTTAAGACTAAACTACATATAAGCCTAAACTGAAAGTCTACAGTCTAAGCAGTTAAGGACAGAAAGTTGTCTCCACAAAGCAGTTAGAGGTTCCAGTCGAGTTCGGAGGTGAAACGTCCAGGCTCCTGCGGCTGGGGTGGAAAGCTTTGACCTCTAACGGGGTCTCCCAGCCACGCCGCCGGCCCTATCTCCGCTTGCAGAAGCTGGGCAGGTCGGTGGGCGCTGGGCGTTACTTCCACATACAAGCCGGGCAGGAATAGAAATGCAGATGAGCTTTTCTGCGGCATTGAGGAGCGCAGGTCAATGCTGGGAATCGCTTCTCAGAGATGGGCCGCTGCTTCCCCTTTGTATCGGCCCCTATTCACCCCTGCGACTTTCTCCACAGCTTTTTTCGCATAGCATAATGTAACTGTTTGCTGCAAAGTCTGCAACTAGTGATTAGGGTGATTAGGTGTGTGCATGTGCTGCTCTCCATGTGCACAAAGGCACCCTAACAAGAAAGTTCGGAGTTCTAATGTCTGCGCTTCTGTAGGAAAGTCTTTTCAATGGATGGGCCCAATAGGCTATGAAAGTTGCACAAAACATGTTTCTTTTTTAGCCGTTTTTGCTCAACAGTGTAGAAAAATGATGTTGTTTTTCCAGTAATCTTGTTATTAAGTGTTTAGAACACAAACCCAGATCATGACGGATCTGAGGTACACTGAGGAGTCCAAGCTGACGTGACCAAAGAGAAAAAGTTATGAGTACACAAAGTAGAAAACATTTTATGGCACTGTCTCAGTCTTATGTCTGAGGCAGGTCTACAGGTGGATCCAAAAGCCTATGGAAATCTAAAAACGTGGAAAGAATCAATAGAAAGTTTTCAAATTTTGAAAAGTTTCAAGCAAAGAAAATTTATAACAAGTCAAATGACAACGATATATACAATTATTACTGGGTTGCTATTCAAATATAAGCAAATTTGTTATTTTGACCATATTGAGGACTTTTTTTCGTATGTATGTATTTAATACATCTTCAGACTCTCAGGTGGACTTGATCTACTTATCAGAGGCTTTAACGCAAACTTGCAGAGTGCAGTTTGAGAATGCCAAATAGAAGCATTTTCACCAGTGGTCTCAGACTTTGGACCCCACTGTATGATCTAATTAAGCTTCATGTCCTTTGAGAATGATTAGTGAGCGTGAAACTGTTATGCTGGTATGGAATGGAGTTGTTGGAGGAAACTTTGGCCAGTTGTTTTTAAATGTAAACAAAACTTAAAGTTAAGTTTAGAAGTTATAAGTTTGCGTGACATTGTGTGACACTTGTTTGCACTTTTTAAACTTTAGCTGAAGTTTTATCAACAGTAGAAAAGTCAGAAATATTAAGATGCTCTTGAAAGCTCTGTCGCTTCTAGCATTTGTGATATTCACCAGGAATATTTGTTGCGTCCCTCCACGTATGAGGGGCCTGCATGAGCCTGATAACGTCCAGCGAGGATGGGAACCAAGCTGAGACCCATCAGGCATAAAAGTAACAATAATATACAGTGGTGAAAGTTTGAACTGACATGTTTTGTTGACTTTCTAAGTGAACATAAAGTAACACATCTTCTACATGAAACCTGAATTTAGCAATTTTTGACAAATTGTGTTGCACAATTTCTATTTATTTGCTGAAATTTAAAATATAGAATATGCCATAACTTTTGCACAGGCCACATTTGATGTTTTATTTCTTTTTCGATATGTTTAATCAATACCATTTGTGAAATTGTTAAACACAAAACATGCTTAAAAATTAAAAACAAATATATGTGGTAGAAAAACTAAACTTGCCCAAATGCAATATATTGCAATGTTCTGTCTGGCCTAACAAAGCAGTTTTGGAGAGCAACTTTGAGCAGACCCCGCATGCACATTCAGTACTTTTGCATTTTTTGTGCCAGTGTGGGTTTTCAATGACTGAGCCAAAGCTAAACTTTAAAATTCTCTTGCCCGTCCCTTTCTTTTCAAAATAAAACCTTCTATACATTCCTCTGAACTGAGTGCAACCATTCTAACAAAACTGTAAAATTAAAGTTAGTGACCCAGCTGCTGTAAAATGGAAAATTTATATTGAAGGGAAAGTCCACCGATTTTGCAATTTTTGTTGTTTTGATGTGAAATTGTTCACTGAATGGGAAACTTACGGTGGTGGTGATAGGAACCAGGGGTCAGGATGTCTACAACACAAATATAGCCATTTTGTTTACTGTCCAAAAAGGACAGCGTCTTGTGAGTAAACTGATAATAGTGAAATAGTGATAATGTTATTATTTTGCATTGCATGCCCCTCTCCACCATAAATGGACTAATACATTAAAGCAAAAATCCTACTTCAAAAGTATCCTAGAATGATGACTAAGGCATCAGGCAACAACGTAATAGCTATTTCATTCAGTTACGTTCTTAAGACGTCTGGTTCCTATCACCATCACTGTGAACTATTTAGACTTCTCTAGAATACAGCGTTTCACATCAAACCACTGTATATCTTGAAGGGGAACTCCTTATTTCTGCATAATTAAACAGTTAAGATGTAAACAAAGTCATTCAGAGTGGTGTGAAATGCTCCATCCTAGAGAAAGTTGGTCAGAACTGTCACAATAGTGGTGATAGGAACCAGAAGTCCACCTCTAAAATCTCCCTCATATAAAGTTATTACATGTAAATGTATATATATATATATATATATATATATATATATATATATATATATATATATATATATATATGCTGTCAGAAGTCTGACACATTGTTTTATTGTTTTGTGATTGTTATCTTATGTGGTTTAACCCATTTATTTGAATCCATTCATGGTGGTAACCCCCCCCCCCAAAAAAAAATGAGGAATTGTGACTATTTTCCATATACATATTACATATAAACTCAGAAGACACATGTAGGTTCACTGGTTGTTTTGGATAGTAAATAAAACAGCTATATGTATGTCTGACCTCTGGTTTCTGTCACCACCACTCTAAAGAAATCTGAGTCTCTACAATGAAGCATTTCACCTCAAACCACTTTAAATGACTGTTTACATCTCAAGGACTGAATTATTTTTTTTAAAAAAATGGAAAATTGGTGGAATTCCCCTTTAACTTTTTCATAGGCATTTAATTTTATGTTAAAGCAACAAAGCAAGTGACTATTGGTCACTTTTCCAGTGGAAGGCTTACAAAGAGGGTCAGTCAAACGTACAAATAAGCATCGTTTTATTGACCTGTTCACTTCTGGGTTGGTTTTAATTACACAAATAAACATGATACAAATTATGTACATCTGTTTAAAGGATACTTCAGAAGAGAACCACGTGATATTAAAAAAAAACAAAAACAAAGAAAACAAACTTAAATTATCTCTTTCTGCTTTTATACATATGCTTTGTATGTAGAATCTGCTGTAAATTCTGTTGGAGCTGCTGAGCTTGTGTCCATCCCGTCCTGGCACAGTTCTTAGATATCTTAATATACTCATATATAGAAAAAAGAAAGTTCCTCTCAGAACTTTAAGGCAAAAGTGCGTTTGTTTGGTGAAAGGATTCACGCACGCGCACACTTTTTTTTTCTTCTTTTTTTTGTTTGTTTGTTTTGAAACGTAGGTACAATGACAACACGGTTCACACCATCGATTTGGTATGGAGTAAGAACTACTTCTCGTCGTCTCATAGCTCTCATGCAAAGGCCTCGCGCGTTATTGCATGACAACATGGACACACAATGGAATAAATAAGAATACAAAAAAGCCCTCAAACTTTTCTCACAGCTCTGATCATGATTTCTCACTTAACAAGCAGGAACAGACGAAGGGCAGGAGGATATTGCTCCGTGAGGACAGCGGACACTCTCAGAAAACACTTTGCCAAGACATCAGCATAAAAAAAGAAGAAGAAGGAAAAAAAAAATATTGTACATTCCCGTCTCGAAAAGTTCAACAGAGTCAGTTTGGGTCAAGTATTCTCCCTTAAATATGTGTATTTATTTATTATTTTGTCTTCCGTCATTCAGAGGTTGTCGCTTGTTCGCCATTCACGTGTCTGAACTTCTTCCTGATGGGTTTTGACTGCGATGAGTTAAATAGATCTATAAATACGATAGTTTGTCTGTTTGTTTGAAGCACTGCACGCCGTAATGATTGAACGTTACGTTCAAAAGTAATGACCGAAAACATAAAACGAACATTAAAAAAAATGATAATAAAATAATACCTTTAAAAAAAAACAAAAAAACATGGAAACTGGACACTGAACTAAGATAAAGTTTTGCCATTTATTTATTTATTTATTTATTTATTTAAAAAAATCACAGTTGCCTGAATGCAGCAGGAAAAAAATCTTTGGACTTCAGCATGGATTAAAGACGATCATGTGTCTCGACGTCAAGTGTCAATCAAAAGCAAAAGCGCGTCTCTCTCTCTCTCTCTCTCTTTCTCTCTCTCTCTCTTTCTCTCTCAACTCCTTTCTTTTTTCTTTTTTAAAATAAGAAAACGTTGCCTACTTTTCTTCACCAAGCGTTTTTTTTTTTCAGACTGTGGACAGCAGTGTTAATATTAAAAACAAAAAAAAGAAACACCCCACGCAAAATGCAAAATTACAATCCACATTAAAATATTAAAATATTAAAATATTGCAGAGTGCTTTCTCGTCCATAGAGTCTACTCCATTTCTGCTGGTATTTTGTACACTGGCCCTTTTATTTATTTTATTTTTTTTCTCTCTTTTAATTATTGCATTGTAATTGTATAGACGTCCTCCTCCTGCTCCTCCTCGCGCTCAGTCGCTGTCTGATTTGTCCTCCTTGTTGGTGACGGTGGCGTGATTGTACAGGCCCTGGGCCATCAGGTGCAAGGCCAGCGTGTTCTTGGTCCCTGAAGCCTTCTTGATCTTGGCCCTCTTGTTCTGGAACCAGATCTTGATCTGGGACTCGTTGAGGCCGAGCTCCTGCGCGAGGCTCTGCCGCCTCTGCTCGGTCAGGTAGCGGTTGGTCTGGAACTCGGACTTCAGTCTCTGCAGCTGCTCGGCTGTGAAGGCGGTGCGCGGGCGCTTGTCCTCTTTGCTCATAGTTTTCTTCTTTGGTTTGCGGGATCTTGGCCCTGCGTTTGGTCAGTGCACACATATGGGTTAGAGGAGGTTTTTTTGGAGGGGGGGCTTAATGCCATGACCTTAGGATCAGCTTTAGTAATAATAATGATAATAATAATAATAATAATAATAATAATAATAATAATGTAATAGTAGTAGGGGTAGTAGCATGGCAGTAGTAGTAGTAATAATAACGTTAATAACAGTCACGTTAGACTAATTATATAACAGTATCATCACCATAGTAATAGCATTATTATAGTGTAGTAGTAGCAGTGGCAACTGTGGTAGTAATTGTAATAAGCACCATGATCAGTCGTCACTCAATAGTAATAATAATGTAATAGCGTCCCCGTCATTATAGTAATAACAATCGTCGTCATCCCCATCATAGTAGCAGGCTAGCAGGAGCAATACAATTAGTACAAATAAAAATAGTAATAATCACAATGATGGCCCACATCATTACTATCACCTATGTCTTGTTAATAGTATAGTATAATAATAATAATGATAAGAATCATTTGTATTGTAGCACTAATAATCACCATCATCATCCTTATAGTAGTAGAAGTATATTATAATAATAGCCATCAACAACATGGCTGTAGTAGTAACATATTAGTAATAATATAATAACAATTATTCTTTATAAATATAGTAGTAGGTCAAATAAAAATAACCCTCAATATAATGAATGGTAGTGGTAGTAGTAATAGGTTTAGAAGTAAATGATCTCCATCATTAGCAAGTGGCTAAGCTCTGATTTTTAAACTTACAACTTTTTAACTTTAAATAAAGAATCTGCCAACAAAGCTTCTCACATTTGCATACGAGCCATAATTCAATAGGTCTTCTCGAGTTTTGGCCTAAGAAGGCCCGCTGGATTTGGGGTTGGGGGTGGGGAGAGTGCCAGGGTGGGAGGGTGTAAGGGGTGGGGGGGGGGCATGAGGGGGTTAGGCGCTCCTTTCTCCCGCTGTTCCCATAGTAACCACATTTATAAGGCTGCGTGTTGTTCATAAACTTGTTATAAGTGTAGCACATCTCATTCTACACCGAAGCCACCGCCGAGCAATTCCTATCGATCCCAGTCCGAAGATCAATGCTTCCAATGAGCAGTACAGACGAACCCATCCTTATTATGACCTTTATTAGCCATTCCAGACATATTTTGCAGCCTCGGCCTGATCTTTAAACAGATTATCCTTTTATGTGCTGGCATTATTGAGAGATGTGTACGTGTAGAAGGCCTCGGCGCATCGCTTCGTGATGTTTTAAACGTTAGTAATGTTTCAAACAGTCCGTCCATTCAGCCAAACCATGCGTACGTCAGTGATTTAGGCTCTAATATACGCTCATGGCCTCATTATACATTTCTTAGGTTAAAAAATATTTTAGAAATTCAGGCGATTAAATTGCGGCACAATTTTTCGTCAAATTTTTGAAAACCATTTAATGGATAACAAGCCTTGATTTCAGTTTGTAGACTGAAGAACTCTGAGGAAAACTTGCCTCTGTGTAGCTTAGCAGAGCCATTTTTCAGCCACTGAATTTACTTTTTCCTAACGAATTCGCTCTGAATTTAGCAAAAGGAGAAAAACTCGCTTTGCGCAAAAAAATACATAAACCTCAAATTTAATTGTGGGAAACGATGGCGAATGAAGGAAGAGTGTCTTCAGGAGTAAAATATGTGCTTTAGCACGTAGCCTGGCTCAACTCCATTGTCAAAAATATGCTAATGAAATATTAACAAAGACAGCCATGGAACAATGCAGGTGCAAAAAACTTGGCTTCGTTTTTTATTTTCGCTAAAAATTCGGGCGAAATATTTTTTTCAACTTCAGTGTATTTTTTTTCTTTCGACCGCTGAGAAATTCTGAAACTAAGTAGTTTATTTTTCGTCAGAAATTGTCATGAACGACCGGCAAAGAGCGAACACTTTGGTCTTCGCTGCCCTCGAATAACCCCAAAACTAAAAAATTAATGCAAACAAAATTGTAATAATAACGAAATAAAGGAGTACCGAATTAAAGTTCCCAGACCTATTTTAGTTTCCTAGTATTTTTCTTTTTATTTTCAGAACTGATTCGCACCAATTTCTTCAAATTGAACGATTCAATTTTGATCTATTTAGCGATTTTTAGAAACGTCTAATTTTTTAACGCTTTCGCTCAAAAATGGATAAAGAAAAAGAACTCTGGACTAAACTCCTCTTGGCGGGCGGTGTCACGGTCAACGAGAACTAGTAGCCTATTCATAGGTCAGGCTTTTAGGGGCCGTTGTGGCCTAGGCTGCACGAGCTTTCTAAATTTCGAACAATCCGATTTTTTACGCTTTCTACTTTACGTAAGAAGCTCAAACCAATCTGAAAATATTCCAGATCATAAATCAATATGCATCAACACTATGAGAGGGAATTCAACATTTTGTAGCTCTGGAAATAACCGAGCTCTGACCGCAACGCTGGAGATCGTTCTGGACGTAATTCCATTTATATAATTCTATATAATATATAATATATAAAGTCCGCGCCTACCTGATGATGGTCTGTCCGAGTATCTGGTGCAGTAGACCCAGGCTGGCCACAGCATGGACTGGTTATTTGCGGACGCGCTGCTCTGAGAGCACTCCGAGTCCGAGCTCAGGCACTGGTCCGCGCTTTCGGCGCGTGCTCCGTCCGGGGTCCTTTTTGCCCCAGCCCCCGCCCGTGGTCCAGAAGTCCCTTCCTCGGGTACGGGCGCGCCCACCGGCTCCGTGGCCGCCGAGGGATCGCTGGTGACGGCGGCGCGGTGGTTGTGGTGGTTGTGGTTGTGGTGATGGTGATGATGATGGTGGTGGTCATGGTCGTGGTCGCTGGCCGCGATGCCTTCTTTCCTCCGCCCGAAGTCCGGCCGTAGGATGTTGTCGATGTAAAAGTTGGTGACCCGGTGGGCGTGCAGGTTGCCCGGCGCGTGCAGCAGCGACTCGTCGCCCGAGTCCTCCGCGCCTCTGGGGCTCCGGTCCTTCTCCTCCATCCCCAAACTCGCAGCTCTTTAACCCCTTTCTGCCCCGCACAGCAGCGTCCCGCTTCCAGCTTTAAACAAATCTCCCTCTTCTCTGCGTGTAAATCTGTGTCTCTTTATAAATTTGACAGAGAAGAGAAAAAAACGAAGAATAAAAGTCGAGAGAAAAAAAAAAAAATCGATTAAACACCGCGACCCTCACAAAGAAAAATCATAATTTCAGAATTTAATCCCACTCTGAGCTCCTCGGAGTAGTTTATTGTACTTCTTGTTATTATTCGAGTTATTATTATGAATATAAGGCTACTTTAGGGAACTATTGTAGACGCAGCGCTGTGCCTCAGTGCCCAAAGCTCGGGGTAAATAAAGAGGTGCTAACTGGCTCTGAAATACTTTCACTACGGATTTTTGTTCTTATTTTTAATACGAGCCCCCACCTCGTCCCCCCTCCCACCGGTGACGTTGCACTCCCGGTATCCTAGACACGTGCCTTGGGCCAATAGGAAGGAGGAGGCTTTGCCACGTGACCCACTGACTCTGCTAAGTGACAGCACCCCAACCTCGCCTCGATCTCGGGATTTAAAGCTACAGCACGCTAGAATTCAGAAAAGGTGGTCTTCAGGGTTGAAATCAGGCCACCCTTGGCTTGACCTACACTTTTGGTTCTTCATTAGCAAAAACAGTGATCCTATATAGAACCAGGTACACACCAAGAACCATGTGCATTCTTCAGTGGATGCTTCTTCAGATTGATGGAGAATGTGTTGTATACCATTCTGTTTGGAAATGGTTCTATGTCGCATAAAGGTTCTGCTACTGTTACGATCTCAAGCTAACAATGAAGAACCCCTTTTCAAACAGGTTTTACATAGAACCATTGTCTTTACCAAAGAACCTTTGAAGAACCATCTAGCTGTCGCTCGTTTGGGCTGTTCATGAAGGTTATCCAGTCAATTGGTGGAGCAGACCCCCTGAAAGCTGACTCCGTGGTTGGGGTGGAGATGGTTTGTGGTGTCCTCCTACATGACCATGGCCCGGAGCGAGCTAAATAAATGGCCGCATACCTCCACAGGCTCGGCCCACCACATTTGGACCACCGTAGAGGTGACGTCTAAAGGTGCTAATAATAAAGCACAGCTAGTCATGTGTTCTCCTTTGGTTATTTTACTTGTGAGGTCTCCTGCTAGAGATCTAGAAGTTAGACCACCATTATCCATGAATTACTATCAAATAAAGTGGGACGCAGCGCTGGTATTCCTTTTAGACTCAATGAGACACTGTATGCCTTCCCATGTGGGGTTAAGAGGGCTCTGGCACTGGGGTCGAGTAGTCAAGGGGGCTGGTGGCTCTTTAAAAGAAACCAGTGATGCCAAACCAACTGCGGCGCACATGATGCTCTGCAGCGCCAAAATGAAACAAATCCCCGCAGTTTGCGAGAGATGGGACGCTTCAGAGCCCGCCAGGCTCTCTTAATAGACCTCGGTTGTGGACGCTTCGCCACGTTGTGACGGTGTTTGTCAAGCTGAGTGGGCAGCCGAATCACGCGCTTGCAGGTTTTCCTGAGAAGAGAGGATCGCGTGAAAATAGCTCTGTTTTTTATTCGTAATATATTGTAAAACACAGCCAGGATAACGTGCAAACAACTGCGTCCGTTTCAACTGGTCACGATCTCCTGGGCATTTGCGGGTTTTGGAAACACTGATTAGTCTTGGAGGAGTCGTAGATGCAGCCCATAGTTCTGTATAGTATCAGTAACAGGTTCTATACCTTTTTGGCACAACGGAATGGAACCATTTTTGAGAAAGTGAGTTGTCATGGTTCTCCTCATTAAGAAACCCTTAAAGAACCTCTTTTTTTTAAGATGTAATGAATATGATTATAGAGTAAAAACAGTCCAGTTGGCAGAATCCCACTGAATATAAGTCCTGAATGTTGAATATAAACTATGCTGTTGTGTTTTGGGGAAAAGGCCGGCAACAACTACAGCTTGAGCTGTTTGGCTGGGCCTGTAGTAGTAAAGTAGTAAAGTGCGCTACTGGCTCAGATACTCAACGACAAACAACACAGTGTGTAGAGCACTGTGTCTGCACCTTCTGAGCGCCCGCAATCACACTTAATAGCATTTCCCCATTAAAACCACGTTATTCTGGCTTTTTAAGCGCTTCGTCATGATCTGCTGCACTTCCAAAACTCACACCACCACCCCCTCATAGCACCCGGCGTCTTAGAGCAGGCTGCGGTAGAAGTGCCCCAAGACTGAGCTGTGGAGGTAAGGAGGAACATTTCCTGGGAATGTAATCTAACTGTGAAGCTGGACAGTGATGTGTAACGAGAATAGGCTCTGTGCTGTATAGCAGTGGAGAGTCTACAAGCAATCAGTGTTGTGACATTTGTTATCAAATCGAAGGTTTGTGGTAGGTGCGCTAGTGTTTATTAGAAGTACAAAAATATTATTTAAAATAGCACCAGCACTATTATTATTATTATTATTATTATTATTATTAGTAGTAGTAGTTTCTATTTTAATTTATTTATTTTTAGTGGGTGTTGATGTTGCTTTTTGCTTAAAAAGGGATTGTATATATATATATATGTGTGTGTGTGTGTGTGTGTGTATATATGTCTATATACATGTATATACGTATAATGTGTGTTTTATTTATACATAATAAATGTCATTTATATATATGTATATATATTGAATAAGTAAGTTCAGTCAGCTCATTGGCTAATTATATTTAACACGGTTAAATTGATGAGCAGTATCGCTTCACAAAAAAGGCTAATACCACGTGAGGCGTTTAGTTTTCCCCATTAAAACCCCGCTCTCACAGCCATAACAAGGATTGTTTTAGAAACTTTAACCGTGCCCACAGTGCAGGTCACGGTAATCAGATACACACGTTTTAATCCGGGAGAAATTCTTCGGGATTAACACTCTCTTTTAAAACCCTTTTGCATCTTACGATCAACTTGCGCACTAATCGTGCAGCCCCGCTCCTGACGCTGGGCCTGTCCCGCCGACCCGCCTCGGCTCCTTCACCACCGCTCAGTTTTAGACTCATGAATGTTAGTCAGGTCTTTGTGCTGCGTAATTGCTGGAATCCCCGTTTAGCCCTGCTAAGATGCTCTTTAGTGTGTCACTGTTTCCACATCAGACCAACTGAGAGCTCGAGCAGCGTAAATCCATCTTTGAGTGGGTGTTTCAGTGAAACAGTGACACGGTAGAAGTAAAAGTTTGGTGGGAGCTTTGAAATGAGTGAACGGGAGCTGAACCTACAGGGCAGAAGCCCAAAAAACGAATTGGCCACTAAAGGTGAAGGACTACAGTGGATCCTTTTCCATGTTGGTCCTCCATAAACATAGAAGTGATAAAAGTATCATTTAAAAAAAGGGAGTATTATAACTGGACTGTTTCATCTAGTCATAAACAAACAGCTCAGATAAGACCAAAGATTTCTGAGGACTCAAGTGGTTTTATGCATTTGTGCCATTGTGTTTAAAAACGATTGGAAGGCTGATATTTAAATCTGAACACAAAACATCATCATAATAAAAAAAAAACGTCAAATGCATCCAAACGTGTTTTAGCATGATGAGTGTGTCACAACGTAAAAATAACATTATGCAAAGAGAAGTAATGATAAATGAGAAAAAAAATTTGACTTAATTAACTTAAAACCGATAAAACCGCTAAGAATACCGGGAAGCGTTTTAGGCAAAATCTCAACATCATTCTCAGCCGTTAAAAATGAGTGTTTTACAAAGTTTCTGACTTAAAACTCTCTTTTACGTTATGTTACCTTGAAGTTTAACTCAACACTTTAAGACCATCAGATCACTAATTTTTTCACGTTTTCAAAATTAAATCATTTTTTCGATGTAATACAAGAAACATATTTGCATCAGTGAGTTTAACAGGTCAGTAAAGCAAACCAAAACAATAAGTTAGAACAGTTGTAGCTCCATTTTTTTGACCATCTCTGCTAATAAACAGCACCAAACCTGATGAAAATAACGCGCATCACATTTTTTCATTTGTTTTGCCTCACTCACAAAAGGTCTCGAGCCAGAAGCAAAGAGGGATTTTTTTTGTGAATGAGCGCGCGAGGGCTTTTGCCAGCTCACAGATCATAGAGCTGAGATGAGCAGCGCAGATGTGGCCCATTCAATAGGCAATGATATCGGGCCCGGAACAATGGAGGGGTCACCCGGGATCTCCCAGCTTCCTGTTGGCCTTTGGAAAACAAACTGAAGAAATGGAGAAAAGAAGAAAAAAAGACCTTGAGGGAGCGCGAGGATGGGGATAAAGGTTACTGACTATTTCCTATTTGGGTCTGAGGAGCTTGAACTGGGTGACATATACACACATTCATATAGAGCGGGATTAAACCGCAGCTCTGTGTTTAGAGCCTCAGTGTATTAATGCGCCTGGTTTTAGATTAAGGCTTGTCTGCACTCTCTTTAAAGTAAAGGTGGCAATAACGGTTCCTTTGGAAGAACCACATTTGGTTCCATAAGGAACCTTTCAATGGATGGTTCCTTGAAGAGCCATGCACTCTTAAAAAAAGCTTCTTTTTTAAAAGGTTCTTTAGTAAAAGCAATGGTTCTAGAACCATTTGCATGCTTTATTTATTTATTATTATTATTTTGCATGGTAGAACTGACAGAGAATGTGCTGTATGTGGTTCTATATAGCGCCCAAAAATGACCTGCTATTGTTGCCACATAGAACCGTTTTCAAAAAGGTTCTATACAGAATCATAACCACCTGAAAAACCATTTCACTATGCAAAGAACCACAAATGGTTCTATTTAGCACTCTTTGCTAACACTTAAAAGAACCATCTTTTTAAACTGTGTTCCAAAACATTTCCTTGGTTCCACATAGAACCTTTCCTTAAGGTCGTGGAACCTACAACCAGAGCAACAACCATTACTGTGCCTTACTCATCAACTTCAACAGGCTCCTTTGAGTTCTGGCTTAAAATCACTGCCTCTCATCATTTTTTTTTTTTCTGAAATCGCATCTTCAGAACAACCCAAGAATCACTTAGTCAGTCTTCAACAGGTCTAGTAGTTCAACACTTCGTAGAGCTCAAATAGATTC